CTGGGCACTTACTAGGTTGCTTTCCAGAAAGGCTGGACCACACTCTTCCCCAGAAAAGAGAAGTTCTGTCCCCTAACATTCCCAGCTCTTGTCATTATTTGCTTTCTGGTATGTGCCATTCTAAGGGCTGGAATGTGGTTTCAGTGTTTTCAGTTTGCCTTTTTCTGGTTACCAGTGGGTTATCGCCTGGTCAAGCCTTCTGCACATGGAGAGTCCCTGTCTGTGGTTCATTTGGAAGAGGTCTTGGACTTACATCAGCCTTTTGGTTAATCCATTGTAAGGCCTTCTTCAGGTCTGTCTGTTGGGTCTATCCATGGGATCTGGATAGGAATCCTCGATTTAGATGTAGTCAAGACCACTGTTTTATTTGTTTGTTTTATGGTTTGTAGTTTTTTTTCTTTGTGAGATCTCAGAGGCATCCCAGTGTCCCTCTAGGAGCAGGACAGCTTACCCTCCACACTCATTCTTCCATGGCCTTCAAGCAGATATGTTGAAATGTGCTTCATTTCGGTGTTGCCGTGAATTGGTGAAGTAATCTCTAATCTGGAGGTTTCAGATGACTGTACCAGAAGATTGCAACCCAAGCAAATTCCATAGGTAGTATTACTCCTTTAGCAGATACATTTTTAGCTGGAAGACCACGTGTGGAGGTAGAAATGCAGCTTAGTTTTTCTCCATAAAATGAGCTGGTTTTCCCCACACTGTTGACTAAGCAATATATCCTTTCTCAGACCACCAGGTGTCATCACCACATCTGGAATGGGTTTGTCCTTGTGATGGCTTTGTCATATACCAAATATATGGATCGGCAGGTACCCCTTTACTCCTTCTCAATTACCATTTAGGTACTCATGACCTTGACTTTTCCACATATACGTCTCAGAAAGACTTTGTCAAGTTTCCAGAAAGGAAATCTAGCTGGAATACTGAGATTGGCTTGAACGTATACTAACTTGGGGACGACTGAAATGTGGACAATTGTTAAGTTCTCCTATCTATGAACATAGTATGTTTCTTCATTTATTTAGATCTTCTTTATATATTGTCATAAAATTATAATAATTTCTCTGTAAATATTGTTGCATGGGTTTGTTAGGTCATGTCCTAGACATAATTTTTGTTCCTCTGTACACGGCATCCCATTTTCTGCGATGTGTTTTAGCTGGTTAATCTGGTGCAGAGGAACGCTGCTGACCTCGGTGTGATCGCCGAGTTGGCCTGTGGGCATCAGCAGGTTGTAGAGTGCAGTCGTGGCGATGACCCTGCATGCTGTGAGAAAGGCTAGGCTGCTGTCCTCCCATCCAGCGGGGGAGCGTCTGGACATCATGGGAGGGGCACCCAGGCAAGCTGAGGCCGCCCCCCACCGCCCCATGGCAGCAGCTGTCTTACTGCTGTCCTCGCTCCCCAGCCTGGATGGGGCTGGGGTGGGGGCCAGAGCAGAGTGTCCGGGGATGACACCCCGGGCTGGGCTCAAACCCTGCAGAGACTTGGAGCCCAGCCCTCCTTTGTTCTCTCCCCAGGAGAATGTGCAGGAAGCACTGGGGAACAGGGGCTATTGCTGTCCTCGCCCCGGGCTGGCTCGGCCAGGCTGAACTGGAGGGATCGTGCTCCACAATCCTGTCTCCAGGGAGGACCACACTGGGGAACAGCTTGCCCGTCTTGTGGTGAGACATTAGCATGTAGCTTTTCACACACGGAGGGATTCTGAGAGATCGAGTGACAGTACTGTGGCCAACGTTTAATCCAGTCATCTCTGTAAAGGCAAAACCAGAAACCAGAAACCGAAGTAATGATGGACCCTTACTGCAGCTGTAAGCCGTGCTCTGCCACAAACACGGACAGCGTGTTAACCGATGCCTTCCCAGGGCAAGTTTACTTCTGCATTTACTCACGAACACCTACAACACACGTGTGTCATTTTGATTAAGTACTTACGGTAACTAAAGAACAAGAATCCTGGTGAATTTCTTGTTACCAGGTTCAGTCTTACGGTTTCACGGATCAAAACTAGTGTTTCCCTCAGGGCACCTGGGTGGCTCAGTCAGAAGAGTGCACAGCTCTTGATCTCAGGGCTCAGAGTCGGAGCCCACACTGGGTGTAAAGATTACTAAGAAAAATTAACTTGAAAACAAATGGCTGGCTGGGTGGGGGGGAGCTGGGTGGCTCTGTTGGTTGAGCATCTGACTTTGGCTTAGGTCATGATCTGACCGCACGTGAGTTCAAGGCCCGGGCTGGGCTGTCAGGCGCAGAGCCTGCTTCGGACCCTCTGTCTCCTTCTCTCTGCTCCCTCCCCCCACTCTCTCTCAAAAGTTAATAAGCATTAAAAAAAAACCCACAAATGGCTGCCTCAATACACATATTTGGTCTGGAGAAGAAGCAGAGAGTGAGCAAGAGGCCAGGTAGGAACCAACAAAACAGCACAGGGTCATTCTACCCCACACTGACTATGGGCTGGCTGGGAGCTCTGTTCCTGTCTGTCCCCTCATTCTGGGGACTAGCAGCCACCGTCCCAGGGGTACAGCTTCACACCTTTGTCATTTCTGCTCATTCTTCAGGAGCCAAAGCTCATGCCTGGGGCATCTGTGGGGTGTGGACGGCTGGCACACACACCGCGTGCCCCGGAGAAGACGGTCTGTGATGCCCTCAACGTTCAACCCAGTACATTTTGCAATGGATATACTTGGGCGGGCAAAGTTCTACGGGAAGGGGGAATAAGGCAGAGCATCCAGCCACAAAGGGTCAACTTGCTGGGTCCTTTTTAAGTGGACCGGGGCACTTACAACGTGCTGGGAACCAGTAGTCTTAAACAAGAGAAACGGTAGGCAACTTAAAGTAAGTGACCGTACACGGCTTCCAAATTTCCTTTCCAGGATCCTCAAGCACAGAACTTAAGCCCAGTGTACCTGCCTGCAGGAACCTCTTCGCTCAGTTTCCCCAGGAGTCCTCGCTGCTGTAGGTGCCCTGGCCTCCTGTAGGCGGGGACTCTGTCAAGGGCAGACCCCGTGCGCTTTATCCTGTGCTCAGCAGAGCCGCCGGCTTGGTCACCGGACCTGGCCTCCCACCCCGTCTCCTGTCTGCTCCGGGCCCAGTGAAGCTGCACTCAGTGCCCTCCTGCCCAGGTGCACCGAGTCCTCTGCAGAATGACCCCACCTGGTCTCCCACCACCCCCGATAACCCCTCTAGACCGTTGCTGAAGAGCATCCTGGCCTGGGACACCCGCCCTGCGCGACGCCAGCCCAGCTCCTGGCTGCCTGCAGGACCCTGATTGCTCTGGCGCCTGCCTCTCCACAGTACGAGCCCCGCACCTGTGGC